GTGTGTGTGTGTGTGTGTGTGTGTGTGTGTGTGTGTGTGTGTGTGCGCGTGCTTGTGTGCGCCCACACCGTCTTCTCTTCTAAAGGAGCTCTGTCGGTGCCTCTGGGAGAGTGGGTGGTTTTGCATTGCTTTGGTAAAACTGAGTGTGCTTTACACTAAGTAGTGTTTCCCTTTCTCTTTTCTCCAGCAGCTGTTTTCCTCTTAGCTTGGAACTGAAGCCAGTGTGTGTTTTTCCCAATCCTTGCGTCACAAGCAGGAACTCACTGACTTTCTGACAAACACTTTTTTTTTGGTCTGTCCTTGCCCTGTCCTGTGCTCGTCTGGCTGACGACTCTGTTGTGGCTTTATTTTGGAAGACAGACGGAGAAGCAAATATTCTCACTATTCTACTTGACTGCTGTGATTATGTTTTCATTTCTGTGTGAGAATCGCTTGACTTTTCAGAGAACTGCCTTTATGGTAAGATGACATTTTTATTATTTTGTACCTTATTTGCTCCTCTCCCAATCTCCCCTTCAGCACAGCTGCTCTCTCATTTAGTCAAGTCTTTTTGTGAGTTGAAACATTATCATTGTGTCTGCTTATCAAAGACAAAATTTCAAAAGCTGCAAATTATCCTCAACGACAATCTGTGTTGTATTTGTTTCTTTGCTTGAGCTTCTAACTGAATCACTAAGTCATTGTCACATTTGGTAAAGTCTTGAATGTGTTCTCTCAGCTGGTAAAAAAAATGTCCAACTTTATGTTTAAAAAAATAAGCTGTTCCCTCACCCTGATGCTCGTCCCTCATGTGCATGACCATAGACGACTTTAGGATTGAGTTTAGTCTTTCATATGTGAGCGATTAAGAAGTGGGAGAGTGTGACACGATTTTAGATTTTCTGTATTGTGTTACAGTGTTAAAGAAGACCAGTTTAATCCTGACTTTTAATTATACCTTACCCAAACTGAAAGCTTGAGCCAAGTAGGTTTAAGGATTAGGCTACACTAGAAAATGCATTACAGTATAGAATTTCTTTGACCATGAATGTGACTGTGTGAAACGAGTACGAAAGTGTTTTGGCGGTGAGGGAGCCGGAGTTCTCATCCTGGCTAGGTTCACCTTGAGTCATTGGTCTTAGTTAGATAAAACCTTTGTACTCAAAGATCTTAAAGTTCAGCATTATTTTTTTATATTACATATCCAGCAAAATATAATAGACATAAAAAATACACATATTCTGTGATAAATGTTGAAAAGTTACTCAAACTTGTTTTAAAAACAGTTTCTGTGAGATTTCAAAATGTTTCAGTTGGTGCTTTTAAAACAGCCCCTCACTTCCGTATATGGGGTTAAGTTGAAGTCTGAACCAGGTGTCACAGAATTGTATTGCCTCCCAATCTGGTTGATTATTACATTTTTGTCAGGAACAACATGCTGAACTGGTGTGTTGCACAGTTCTATGGAAGTACAGCTTAAGAGGGAGTTGGCACCCATTTTTTCCTGAAAACCGAGGGAATTCTGAAGAAAGTGGGAAGTTTGTCCAAGTCAAACAGGCAGACTTCGTAGCACGTCGTTGCATAAGGGTTTTGTGTTCCAAACATTTTCTACCCGAGGATTATGATTCTCCCACTTTTACTCAATAGCTATGTTTAAATGCACAAAATCCTTTGTTCGGATTGCCATGTCTTCAGATTAAATAATCCAGAGCTATAAACTTCCTAAATAACCACAGAAGTAGTTCTACTTCCAAGACGAACATAAACAAACTTTCTGTCTCTTCTGAGTGCCCAGAATGGTTCTGAACCAGGTTTAAATAATGGTGGAGACGTTGCTGCACTCTGTGATTGAGCTATAGGCGAAGCAACACATGCTTTTTTGCTGTTGGGATTATCAATTGGTATAAACCACCCCTCATTTGGATTACAAATTCATTCCGATTGAGATGAATCACATCCGATTATTTCGCTTGGGGTGTTTTACAAGATACATTTTTTTTCAATTGGCCATTTATTCTGATTACTTAAGTTCATGTAAACATAGCTTCTGTAGGTACTTGGTTGTGGTTGACTTCATTACGACCTCATCATGATTCATTTACCTGTGGGATTCCAAAGTATCTGTCTTGAACATTCATTTCTACCTTGGACAAAAGTTTTCTTACTTGCCTGATACAATTCTAGTTGTGAGTAGCTATTACAAAAATATTTATGTGGATTATTGCAACTGGAGCTGTATATTATTAGCTACTGTCCCCTCCAAAAGTATTGGAACAGCAAGTCAATTTCTCTTGTTTTTGTTGTACACTGAAGACATTTGGGTTCAAGATCAAAAGATGAGCAAGGTACAAGAGTTCAGAATGTTAGCTTTTATTTCCTGGTATATTCAGGTAGATTTATTTAAACACATTTATCACAGTTTATAGTACACCACAACATTTTTAGATGAGCAAAAGTATTGGAACAAATTATCTTAAAGTAAATAACACTTAATATTTGGTGGAATAACCCTTGATGCAATGACTGCCTCAAGCCTGCGACCCATCGACATCAACAAACTGTTGTATTCTTCTTTTGTGATGCTGTTCCAGGTTTTTATCGCAGCTTCTTTCAGTTCTTGTTTGTTTCGGGAGGTTCTCCCTTCAGCCTCTTCTTCAGGGGGTGAAATGCTCTATTGGGTTCAGGTCTGAAGAAGGCCGTGGGACCTCATTGATTTTAAATAAGGTGCAATACACTTTCTCACCACTAGTATTGGTAGTGCGCCACTCAGATGTTTAACTACTTTTTTTAATATGTAGAAGAAGAACCTTAGAAACCTGCATAATTCGAAAGCAAGCATGTCCCTTGTAAGTGCAAATTAATACCAGCTTGTTCAGTCCCAAATGATGGCCAGGTATCACACAAGAAACATCTGATTCTCTCTCAAGACCTTTGCAACCTTATTGTTGCAAAGCATAATGATGGCATCGGTTACAGAAGAATGTCCAAACTTCTGAATGGTCCAGTGAGCACTGTTGGGGCCATAATTCAGAAGTGGAAAGAACATCATTTCACCATAARCCGACCACGACCAGGTGCTCCTCACAAGATTTCTGACAGAGGAGTGAAAAGAATTATCAGAAGAGTTGTCCAAGAGCCAAGGACCACTTGTGGAGAGCTTCAGAAACACCTGGAATTAGCAGGTACAACTGTTTCAAAGAAAACAGTAAGTAATGCACTGAACCGACATGGCCTGTATGCACGCTCACCTCGCAAGACTCCACTGCTGAAGAAAAAGCATGTTGAACCTTGTTTAAAGTTTGCTGCACAACATTTAAACAAGCCTGTGTAATACTGGGATAATATAGTCTGGTCAGATGAGACCAAAATTGAACTGTTTGGATAATACACATCATGTTTGGAGGTCAAATGATCATCACCCCAAAAACACCATACCAACAGGGAAGTTTGGAGGTGGGAACATCATGGTGTGGGGCTGTTTTTCAGCATATGGTACTGGCAGACTTCAAATAATTGAAGGAAGGATGAATGGAAAAATGTACAGAGACATTCTTGATAAAAATCTGCTTCCATCTACCAGGATGATGAAGATGAAACGTGGCTGGACATTTCAGCAAGACAATGAGCCCAAACACAAAGCCAAGGAAACTCTCAGTTGGTTTCAGAGAAAGAAAATAAAGCTGCTGGAATGGCCCAGCCAATCACCTGACTTGAATCCAATAAAAACATATGGAAAGAACTAAAGATCAGAGTTCATAGAAGAGGTCCACGAAACCTTTAAGATTTGAAGACTGTTTGTGTGGAAGAATGGGCCAAAATCACACGTGAGCAATGCATGCCACTAGTTTCTCCATACAGGAGGCGTCTTGAAGCTGTCATTGACAACAAAGGCTTTTGTACAAAGTATTAGATAAATTTAAGTAAGTGTGTTCAATACTTTTTCCCTGTGCCATTCCACATTATTACAAATAACTTCRTTTCTGGACATTTATGGTTTGATTTCTTTGTATGTATGGATCACTTGGGTTGTTATCGACATCTGGTGAAAATTTCACGTCATTAGCACCTCTAGTAATATATTTACTGAGAAAAATGGTAACGTGTTCAATACTTACTTTACCCGCTGTAGATTAGACTAATGGGCTATTTAGGTTTATCTTTAGACTTTTGAACAAAGACTGTTATGACAACAAAATGTGTGGATCACAGAACCTGTTGAACTGAACATGTCATGTGCCGTCTTACCTCTGTTAATACATGTTTACATATATTTATGTTCATATATGTTCACACATTCGTGACGTTTATTGGTTATAGCTTAAGCCTTAATGAGATGGTGGGAAATACAATGTAGGTTGAAGAAAATAAATGTGACAGATTGTGACATGATGAATGAACAACAGCTCTGACAACACCACCACACAAGACTGAGTATTCATAGGTAACCCACTCTCCCACAGTCATTTGCTAAGCATTGTCTCATGACTGGATTCCACGAAGAGTGATGAGCTCCCCATTTTCATATTTCTTCACCAGAAAAGATGGAACATGATGAAGCCATTTCAGGACAAATGAAAGGCCCATTTATCATCTGACAAAACACAGCTCCAGAAAAAGAAAAACAGATTGTAATCACAGCCTTGTGGCCACCCATTTGGTCTTTTTGTGATTTACACACTTGCAGCATACATGCATGGGAAAATTTACGAGAACCCCAAGCATAAAATTTCAGTGGAAAAATACAAGACCAAACATGACCAAAAAACCTTGTCTTAACAGTTAAGATTTAGTCTTCAAAATCAAAGCGACCGATTTAACCCTGCTCCTTATGGAGACATCAAAAATGGTTCACATCAGATTGCTATAACTAAATGAGTTTAAAAACAAATATAACATAAAAAATGCATCCTTAAAGCCAATATTGTTTTTCTTTTTCCATCTACATGATAAAAATGACACAAAAATAACAAATGTTACACAAGTCTCAGTTTAAACAAAAAAGGAAAAAATATTAACAACACACCAGAACAATGTGTAAAAATTCAACAATAGATAGCAAATAATGTACAACATTTAAAATACATTAAAACTTGAAAACATACGTTGTTGATGGCCCTCAGTCTTACATTACCAGCCCCTCTCTGTCAGAGAAAGAGCGGCAATGCATATGGTCTCATGATCTCACAATATGGCTGCTGAAAGAGCTAATGTATTGGCGAATGCATGCATGTAATGGCTTATGCCGATACAAGAAAAAAAAAACACAAATATTGCCCCAAAAAATAGGCCGGCTGATGTATCGGTCAACCTCCAACTTCACCCCAATGCAAACTCAATAGATCTGTCCATGATCTCCCCTCCTTTTACAGTACGTTTACACATGCGCAATGACACTTAGCAAACCAACAACATTAAACAAAAATATAGGCACAAAACTAAAAATACACCAGGTTATAGGTACAATAAAACCAAAGCACTTA